CGTCGTGTAAGAAGCCAACCTCTTTAATTCAGGTTTATTCTACATGACGGATGCTTGAAACGTAATGTAACTGTATAAAAATTTGTTTAAGCACGTTGCAATTTAGTCATAGTTTAGTTATCAAATATACAATTTTCAAAATTTTTCGTCTCTCAATTGAATTATTTGGAATATATTATGTTAGTGCAAATACCATTAATTGGTGGAAAACAAGACGTCTTCCCATCGAAACAGAGTAGATTCTATTCGAATCATTTTTGCGAATAACAAACGGTTTGATAAATAACGCGTAGAAATATTAACACTAGAACTACCGACGATGAACGTATATTTATTTCAATCTAATAGATAAACATAATAACCTTTTGAAAATATTCAAATTTATATACCAACTAATTACTTCATTTTATATTGCAATTAGAGTTCTGAAGTATCCGTGAAAATGGATATTTGCATTTTTATAACATTTTAATCATTATTATGGGAGGGTACTGACACAGTCCTTTTCACTGTTTTGGTAGTTCTGGTGTCATAAATAGGACATCTTTTACATAAGAGTTTCCAAAAATGCATGTACACTCACCGAGACGTCCCCGAAAGTATAATACAGGCCTCTCAGCTGAACGAACATTCCGTACAAAATCGCGCAATGTGTGTAAACGAACGCGAGCGTTCGCAAGCGGTCCTCCTCTATGCTGGACGACGTCCAAAACCCGGTAAGTTTCATAAAGAACAACGACATCTTGATGGAAATATCCCGAGACTGTTCCGAGACCACCGGGGATTCCGAATGATTAGAAGCGTTAATTTTCCGCAGATTCAAAAGCTTTCCCATCTTTGATCGCAACGAGTGGATTGCAGTAGGATCACGGTCGCGGCTCCACTTTGATCTCTTGAACCATTTCCTCGGTTCGACGCAAGCCCCACTTACTATCGTTCATATTTCCAACATTTTTTTTCATGCATTATGCACGTCGGACGACATGCACGGTGGACGGTAGAACGATATATTATGTAATAATAGGGAAGGTTTGCCTAAGCGAGGACCGTTTCATGTAATTTAACGTGCGGTTTTATATATGTACGTTAGCGCAGGGAGTTCTAGCGAAGGTTAGTTATAACGGCGATATAATCAAGCATATTGCGAGCAGGTTCGAATCTAACTGTACAGATTGGTATACCTTGTAAGTGCTTCGAAACAAAACAATACGTTTTAAGTGGACTCGAATCTAGACGAGGTAGGTTCGATAATTCTTTATAATTGGGGGGACCAGGAGTAGCTGCCACGTTTTTAATTGACAGTTGTTTTCTTTCTAATTATTAAGTATTTAAAGATTGTATGAAGTGAATTTAAGATGCTTACTTTAAGCAACGATTAATTAGAGTTATTATTGTTCAGGCCTTCAGATGTAAGCCGTGTCATTCCAAACATTTAATCCCAACAATACATTTTCTATCAAAATAAATCTCCCCAAAATAATTCAAACGATTCGCAAGAATTGCAGCTCATTTTATCAAAAGTCAAATGACACAATAACACTATCAACGCCGAACTTTTTCCAAAGGATAAGAGACTTGCACCTGAAGGTCAGGACAGTAATAACTATATTACGCCGAACCCTGAAAACTTCAAATAAATGAGTAATTAAAATATTTATATTTTGTCCCAAAAATTTTAGAATCGTCTATCAATTCCCGACTAGACAAATAAAGTTAATTTCTCTTTCACGTTAAAGA